CTTCCCACGCTGCTCAAGCGCTTGGACTCCGAGACGAGTTAGCCCTGATGGCTGGTGCCGCAGAGATGACCATCAAGATTGGCTTCACAGTGTGGGAGATGTTTCTCATCGACCGTTTTGGCAGGCGAATGTGTCTCGTGGCGGGCTGTTCTGTGATGGCCGTGGCCATGATGGTGAGTGCCCGCACAATGGGCCTGCGCGGAAATGGTTCTGCCAGCTAACAAAACGGCAGATCAACGGGGGCCTGCCGATCGCGTATCCGGACAACTCGAGCAAGGTAGCTGATGTCATCTGTATCATTTTCATCTTTGTCTACGCCCCGGGCTACAACCTTGGCTTCGGCCCGGCGTCATGGGTGTACAATACCGAGGTAGGTTGCTTCCAAACGACATTGTTCAAGCCAAGCTGCTGACGCCGGTAGATCTTCCCCACGTCGGTGCGGGCGCGGGGGCTTAATTTCGCGGCATCGGGTGGCTCGGTCGGCTCCATTATTGTGTCACACGTATGGCCTGTTGGACGGGCAGCACTGGGCAGCAAGGTTTACTTCATCTTCATGGTGGTCAACGTGCTGTGCATTCCGGTATGACGTTCAGCAACGCTCTTAGTCTCGAGGGCCAGCTAACGCTTCCAGATCATCCTCATCTTCTACCCGGAGACAAGAGGCATCGCTCTAGAAGACATGGATGCGCTTTTCGGTAAGGTTGCGACGGCGCAGGGGGTTGACGGCGGCCACCAAGGGCTGGAGGATACGGAACGGCTGCTGGCGCCACAGTCACTAAGTGACGCGGAGGAGCCTTATCATGACGTATCCACGAGGGTGTGATCTAGCACCGTGCAGTAGACATATCATGATGCAGTGCGATGTGTCCATAATGAAGTAGAGCCCGCCTGGGATGTCAGGTTGGAGGCTCTAGTGTAGGTTCAAATGGACGGCAGGTGCAAGAGTTATGTAATGAAGTGTATGGTTTTTTTTTTTTTTTTTTTTTTTTTTTTGCTTACCTGTGTCGCCATCGCAGGACTGGCGGCCCTTATCTATGCTCGCCATGTCAACAACCTGTGCGGCTGTCTGAGACTCCAAGACATGTGAGCAGTGCTGAAGGGGGAAAAGGGCTGTCACGCGGCATTGTGCAGGCGCGCCAGGCGTCCCGTCCGCGTTGAGACATGCACAAAGGTAAGCGAACCAGGCACATCTCAGACTTCGGCAGCTCAAGGGAGCTTGGACCTGGTGACACATTTCGGAGCATGATAGGGGGCTCCGACCTGAAGCTGTGCAATTGATGCGGCAGACGATGCCGACGTTGAACTGCGATTGATGATCGCATTGTGTAAAATCATCTTGACACGCATGAGGGACGGAGGTGGACAGAGCTTGTCAATAGTTACCGGGAAGTTCCATGCTTCGTCTTGGGATCGGATGAGTTGGCGCATGCGTCGATCTTAGCAGCTTGGGTTGGCAGAATCAAATGCAAAGAGCACACCTTGCCTACCTTATTTATGAGTACCTTACGCAGTGTAAGTCGCTAGGTAGGTACCCAGACACGACCATCACATCGGTTGTGATGCCTAAACCAGCCAGAGTCTGATTCACTCTCAAGTGCGATAAGCTGTACCCGCGTGAGCGATAAGCCTCATGACAAAACTGATTCGGAGGGAAGGTGGGGAGCGTCGGTGGTTACTGCTTGGTCCAGGAGGTGACGACAGGATGAAGCAGGCAAGGCAGGCAAGGGCCCATGGCGGCACCCGGACAGGGTGAATGAGGGGAAGTAGTACCCAGGACGAGGGGAGGATCGACCAGGCTGGGGTGCGCGCACACTGCTAGTGTCATTGGGGCAGGTTTCTGGCAGTCTCGCCTGGGGAAATTTGCGGGTTTCTCCACTGTGCCACGCCAGCTCTTTCTTTGCTGGCCCATCAGACTGGTGGTGCCCAAGTCATCAGATGACGCCTGAGTGGTGGAACTCGGGGTCGAGACCCGTCTTGACTCGGCCGTGAGCAGCTAAGCCCACTGCACCTCGTTGTACCTGCCTCTCTGTGTCTGGCTCCGGTGCCTGCCCAGACACCTGGCCTCGCCGCTATGCCAGTACCCCCTACCTAGGTACCTCAACAGAGGCACCCCGTGCCGACTCCGCTGTACTAGGTACCATCTGTCATCGCCATCGCCTCATCATCCAGCGAAGGAAAAGGAACATAATCGTCTGTCGAGGTAGGTCAACGAAAAGCCTTCCGACAAATTGCTTTTTCCCATAATCGCTGCAGCTCGACTAGCTGGTCGTTTGTGGATGGGACTGCCTTCTTCTCAACACTTAGGTCAACAATTAACCCGGCCTTGCGGTATCGTACCTTACGGCTGCTTTCGGCATCTTGCCTCGCGGGCCTGCCCTTCAGCTACTCGCGCTCGTCAGCTACTCACTCACTCAACAAGCCACGCTCCGAGCACATCGACTCGCCCAGACAGCACACAACCCACAGCCAGCCGTCCCGTCTTGTCTTGTTCCACTCAATCCAACACCACGCTGCCAGCTGCCATTCTATCTGCACCACCATCCATCGAGCTTCTAGCCCAGCCACCCCATCGGCCTCTGAGGCCCACTACAGCGCAGCAACCAGAGTCGACCGGGGGAACCCAACGGCAGCAGACCCGAACAGACCGCAGCGCATCCACACGACAAAGCACGGCCCTATCACCTCTCATCCCCCCTCCCCTCCCCTCCCCTCCCCCTGCCTCCTCGCGGCCCTGCTGCCAGGTTCCTTGCTGCATTGACGACATCCTTTTGTCCCTCTCCCCCTATCAACAATTCTAGCCCGCATCGTTTTCATTGTCTGGCCTTGTCCGATCGAGCCTACTGCAGAGCCGCCTCGTGCTCTTCACCTCTCTCTCACCCTCCGAAAATCTCTCGTCGCCAACAACGACTCGTCCCCGAAAGTCTGACGGTCCATCGTCCCCTCCGACACCGCAGTCCAATATACCCGGGTCACTCCCGATCCTCTGAACCCCCCTCTCTCTCCCAGCCCTAGCCAGCGCCCTCGTCGCCATGCCCGCCTGGTAACGCCTCGCGCCATGCACACTTGACCTGCCACCAGCAAGCCTCACAACCTCGCCTTGATTTGCCCCGGCTTTTCGAACCCGCGTGCACATTCTGCGCAGACCGCGCCGTCCTTTTATCGCACGCACACGGCACACACGCGCTCTCTGGACACGAGCGCCGGCATTATTTACCACGGCTTCGCTGCGCCAGCGCTCCTGGACTTCTACGACGTAAACATATCGAGACCATACCCTGTCGCCACGCCTTTCGAAATAGTCCCCTTTCTCCCCTCTCCACGACACTATGGGCAACTCCAATACAAAGGAGTCTCGTCCCGAGCCTTCCGGCGCCTCCGGCCGGCTCTCCCAGGCGCCCTCACATGAGCCCGCCGCCGCCAGCCGACCGAACGAGCAACCTGTTCCTCCTTCCGACCGTAGCAGGAATAGGCAAAGTCGGTTTACAAGAGGCGAGCTAAATCTTCTTGGCCTGGGCTCAACGGGAGCTAACAACAGAGAAGAGGCGCCCTATGAACGGAGGGAAACGAAACAGGAAAGGGAGGCGAGACGCCTCGAGAAGGAAAGGACGGCTCGTGAAAAGGAGCGTGAACGGAGTATGAAAGAGGAACATGTCGACGGAGGATATCTGGTCACGCTTGGCGTCTACACCGGACCCGAAGACTTCAATAAGCAAGTCGTCAGGCAGCTTCAGGTATGTCACCCCTCGTAATATCTGGTATCTGTCAGCCACGTTACTGACCAGGAATCGCCAGCTCGATCGCAAAATCGCGCCTTTCTGGCGAGGCCTTGACGACAAGGATGACAGCTGGACCGAATACCAGCTCGTCTGCGCTGGCCGAGGTCTCCCCATCCCCGCTGCCGACGAGCAACCCCCCGAAGACCTTGTTCCTGCAGCTCCGACGCCAGTTTCGGCCAATGCCTCTTTCGCAAAACCTTGCAAATCTGACCGTGCCCATGGCCCTCGCTCGTTATCTGTTGAGTCTGACTACAGCACATCGACGGCCAACGCCAACTCGGCTCTTGCCTCGCCATCACGAACTCAAAGCGGTCGAG